TTAGGTTGGTGGTTGCTTAAGTTCCAACACATACTAAAAGCTACACTTTTACTTTACCCCCTCTACATTTTATGTATATGATGCCATATTACACATCTTTTTGTGAATCACTTAACTAATTCTTTAGATATAATTAGTTTCACTGCTTTGGTCTTTTAACCTTTATACTAGCTTTATGATTGATCTACTACCTTTACTATGTATTTGCTTTTATCAGTAAAACTTTTTCCTTTCATAATTTTCTTCTACTTACAGCCTTTCCTTTTTTTACCTAAAAGGCCATTTTCAGCATTTCTTCTAAGGCTGGATTAGTGGTGACGAACTCCTAATTTTTGTTTGGTAAACTATCTCTTCAGTTCTTTTTTTTTTTTTTTTTTTAAGATTTAAAAAAATTTTTTATTTATTTGACAGAAATCACAAGTAGGCAGAGAGGCAGGCAGAGAGCAAGGGGGAAGGCAGTCTCCCTGCTGAGTGGAGAGCCCGATGCGGGGCTTGATCCCAAGACCCTGAGATCATGACCTGAAGGCAGAGGCTTTAACCCACTGAGCCACCCAGGCACCCCTCTTCTTCAATTCTGAATGTTAACTGGTTATAGTATTCACAGTTGTGGGTTTTTTTCCTTTCTACACTTTGAATATATCATGCCACTCACTTCCGGACTGCAAGTTTCTGCTGAAAAGTCGGCTGATAGCCTTATGGGGTTTCCCCTTTAAATAACTAGTGCTTTTCTGTTGATGCTTTTAGGATTCTTTATTATGTGTCTTGCTGTGGACTGCCCGTGGCTCATCTTGTTTGGGATGTTTGTTTCCTTCCCCAGGTTAGGGAAGTTTTCTGTCCCTTCCTCTCTCTTCTCCCTCTGGGACCCCTGAAATGGGATGTTAGTATACATTCCCTTTAGTGTATTTTTCATTTTCAGTTATTGGTTCTTTTTTGTATTTTCTATTTCTTTGTTGAGGTTCTGAGTTTATCCACTCTTCTCTCAAGTCTGGTGAGTATCTTTATGACCAATACTTTGAACTCTTCATCTGGAAAATCTTAATTTTTGAACAAGAGTTCCTGCATTTCCATTTTACATGGGACTTCACAAATTATGTTAGCTGGTCCTTGCTGACACTGACTATTTGTGTACAGAGGCCCTATTTGCTTCACACTGCTTTCTTTCTCATGTGAGGAGAGGGGATCTAAGTAAGAAAAGGAAACCAGTTATTATGTGCGGGTATCTTTGCAGCAGTTGACAGAGAAAGCAGTCCAGATAGTTCTACATCTCCTACTGCTTCTCTCAGGATCAAATGAAAATAAAAGGTTACTGGTGATCCTCAAAGAGCTTTTGTTTATTTGGGCTTTATCTATCAATATTTACTCTATAAAAAATTGGAACTGAGAAAACGTTAAACACAAAACCACGCAAGCACACATTATGGTAGCCATCAGAGTAAGAATGAACAAGGCAAATAGTATCTTTGCATTATTATGAAAATAGTTTTGAACTTTTGAATCTCCTGGAATGGGCTCCTTCCCAACCTGCAGTCCTCAGAACATACTTTGAGAATTGTTAATGGAATTAGCCTTCTAGGAGCTCTAACAGGGTGATAGATATCACATTAAATATTTGCACAAGAAACTGGTCTTCTGTGAGTGAATGTCTAATCTGTAGTCTCATGAGACTGTAAAAACTGTGCTCATGTTCCAAACTTCTTCTGTAGGAATGTAGGCTCTGCTTAAAAAAAATCTGACAGTAATGCTGATAGAGGAGTCTCCGAACAGAACGGTCTTGACTACAGGATGCTGTGAATAAAGCAGTTTGCTTTTAAGCTGTGCTTGTCTTCAAATAGAATCGGTTTACTTTGGGGTGTGGAATTTTATCCTTAGATCATTTATCTAGAAACTTCATCCGTCTGGCACACAGCTGAGAACCCTGAGAGTTGGTATTAAGAGATGTCTGTGAAGACCCAATAAATATCAAGTCTGTCTGCTCAGAAGTTCAACTCTTTGACTTAAGTGCAAGTGGCCTGGCCTTCTCACCTCTCCTTTTGATAGAGCTCAAACATTTGTAAGGAGGGAAAATAATGATAAACAAAATGCAAGGCACAAGGCTCTCTGGGGAAAGTTCCTATTAAGGACATGGTCCATATCCTTATTGGAAGGTCAGTTTGAAGCCCAGTACCCACTACATGCCAGGCATTGGGCTTCACGCAGTAGAGACCGGGACAAATGAATTACCTCTGCTGGTCTCCGTGGGTTGGGGGTGAGTCCTGTGAACAAGTAGTTGCAGTAGGAAGCGGTACCCAAGAACAGCACTGGCAAGAACGGGGTGTCATTAGTGCTGTTAAACGATTACCTCTTCAAAGAGAATGACTTTTACAGCGTCCATCTGCTGACTGAAAGAGCCCTCAAAGGAAATAGTATTTGCAGGGGCAAGGGGGCCTGCGGGAAGTAATTCAGTGGAGGACTGTTTCACCCAGACCGTAAAGGAATGTGGCAAGTGTACTGCAAGAATGGGGGACATCAAGAAGACTCGTGGCCGGAGAGAGATGGGGGCTCTGGTAGGTTTCTGGTTTGCCCAACTCCGTGGCTGGGGAAGCTGAGTTTGGTTTTAGATAGGCGACACTTGAGAGGGCTGAAGGCCAGCAGGAAAGGGAGTATTTAGAGGCAGAAAAAGTAGGTAGGATGGAAATGGAAAGCTAACTGGTGTTCAGAACAGTACACTACCAGTAGCAGCTGTTTAAAAATGTCAAATTTGCTTGGGTAATGTGGAAAAGTCACTTCTGTGGAATTGCTTATCTCCCAAAGAGTGGATATAATAGAAGGAACATATTTCTTCAGGTGGCTTTTAATGCAGCTCACTTACATGATTTGTGCTGATCTAGTTCAGAATTCATTTGCTCTTTTCTTATGTAGGCCTAAGAACAAGCTGCATTTGATTAATTTCAGGGGTGACATTTTTAGCACGTGGCATACAATAAAAATTACTGAATAAGACCATATACCCCCCCAAATTGAATATAGACAAATGAATTAAATAGGTTTTTAAATTGTTTAACAAATTGCCAGTTTTTACATCCCTTACCATGAAATAGAAGTGTAGCTGCTTTACTGAGTTAAGCACAAAATAACAGCAAAATCATTAACAGAACTGGGCAGCAGCATTAGAATTCAGTCTGAATGGGAAGAAGCTGGCAAAACCCAGAGGTATTTGAAAAACTAATACAAATTAGCGGGGGGAAAAAAGCTATAGAAGCAGCCCTAATTTTACATACTGCAATTTTCATAGACCAGTAACAGCTGCCCAATTATTTTGATGCCGGCTTCACTATTTAAATGTTTGTATTTATTTATTCACAAGGAGGCAGAGAGGCAGGCAGAGAGAGTGGAGGAAGCAGGCTCCCTGCTGAGCAGAGAGCCCGATGCGGGGCTTGATCCCAGGACCCTGGGATCATGACCTGAGCCGAAAGCAGAGGCCTTAACCCACTGAGCCACCCAGGTGCCCCCCGGCTTCACTATTTAAACACTGCTGGCTGTTGTCACGTTTGTAGGCATCTCAGTATATTTAAAGCTCCGACTATATTTCCCTCTTTCCCCGCCCCGCCATCTTAATCTAATTAAGAGTCGGGCCAACGTTTTGAAATAGTCATTATTTCCTTTAAAAAAAAAAAAAAAGACCATAAAAGTCTTTGGAAGCAGCCAATACTATGGCCATCTTCAAATATGAGGAAACCATGATTTGAGGTACAGGTGTTAACCGACGCTAAAAGTCTGTTCACTTCATGTTGCAGCATTTGTTTAGAAAAAATGAAAACTTTAGTCTTACTCTCAAACTGAAAAGTAAGCAGAGTAGCTGCTAATTTAATGGATACACCGATAATTTGCTGAGAATTTCCAAAGGCGCTACCTTGGAAGTAAAACAGAAATGAGGATACAGGGGCGCCCGGCTGGCTCAATCGGTTGAGTGGCCGACTCTTGGTTTTGGCTCAGGTCATGGTCTCAAGGCCTCAGAATCGAGCCCTCCTTGGACTCCACGTTCAGCAGGAGTCTGCTTCTCTCCCTCTGCTCTGCCCTGCTCCTCCTCCCCTAAAATAAATCATTTTTTTTCTTTTTTTTTTAAGAAACGAGGACCTATAATTGGTGCCATATTAGCTAAAATGTTGTGAGCTTCTAAACAATCTGGGATGACACAACTGATTTATAGGTCAATCCCAGCCATGAAGTTTGACTCCAAATATTCACATATCATAAGTTTAATCTATGATCCTTTCCCTCTGAATAAAGAGGAAAATGTTGGGAGTTTGAATACAACATGGGTACCTAGAAGCTCTGACACCAGGAGCAAATCATTTGTTCTCTTTGAGAGTCATATTTTTCAAACTTCAAAACACACTGTAAGCTCTAAATTTTATGATTTTTTTAGAAGATTTTGTTTATTTATTTGATAGATCACAAGTAGGCAGAGAGGCAGGCAGAGAGAGAGGGGGAAACAGGCTTCCCACTGAGCAGAGATCCTGATGCAGGGCTTGATCCCAGGACCCTGAGATCACGATCTGAGCTGAAGGCAGAGGCTTAACCCACTAAGCCACCCAGGTGCCCCTAAATTTATGATTAATAGTAACATTCTCACTCCTAATCAACTAAATTGTATTTAAAAAGTTTTCTTCTCTAATAAGTGCTGAAATTCACTAAGGGTATAAAATTAAATGTAACTAATTAAGTTATTAAATAACTATTTACATTATCTATTTAATTAGTGTTTTGAAACATAAAACCTCAGAAAGCTTGCAAGTCTATTTTTATAGGCTGGTATAGTGCTTTGACCTTCTAGAACATACAGACCAGGAATATCTGAGGCCTTGGGGAGGGCCTGACACCTTAAAATGCCAACAGATCTACAGCAGGCACCTGCACACACTGGTAACACAGAAAGAAGGGTCAGGATCTTCCCTTTTCACTCCTAAAGCAAGTCAACAAGAAAAATGTTTGAATTTTAAAGTTAAGAAATAGATACATACTCATCATGAACAATGGTGGGGCCATCCCTTGTTAAGGCCTCTTCCTTGATGACATTGATAAGTTCGAAAGTACTGCTGATGGGGGCATCTGGGTTAGGCCATTTGGGACATTGGAAGTGCCGAACCTCTAGGACGTAGTCATCCTGTAACCAATACAACAAGTCATAGCCCATACTTTATTTCCTGACACCTGTTAATGTGTGGCCTAGAACTTGTTCCTGAGAAAGTACGTATTAGAGATAACTGACAAGTGCCAAATAGTAGGGAGGACTGCCTGCCTGCCCTTAAAAAATGACCAGGTCATGAAAGCAGAATCTTATTTTTGTTCAGGGGATAATAAAATTTTAAGTGACAATAAATTATAAGAGACTTTACATAACCTATTTATCTATACATTTAAAGGAAAAAAGGACAAATCATCATTTAAGTTATTAATATAAGATAGTGCCTGTCTTTTCCACCCCATAATAAGTTATTATATCTCAAAATGTCATTTACTACTAAAAAAAAAAAAAAAAAAGTCTTACTATTATCATTTGTAACACATTGCAAGGTTTACATTTCTGGTGGCAAAGAGAATGTTGAGCTCTAGTATATTGTTTTCATAATTAGGTCAACAGACCTATTTGTATGCATGCTCAGACAACAGTTACATTTCATCTACCCAACTGCAAAAAGCAAATATTTGAAGGAAGGAAAAAGTGAAGCGTACATATTTAAAATTAAGTCATACTCAAATGCCTGGGCCTGTCTCGAGGGTGGCAAGTGACTTTATTACTACTTAGAAAGATGATGCAGGGCCCAGGTATGGCTGTTACTGAGAAATGGAGGTTTAAGTTACCTGTGTAGCTTCAAGGATAAAGTCATGGATGATAATTTGTTCTTCATTAGAGAGGCACAGTCTGTCTTTGCTGATAAGGGTGACGGTAAAGGCCTCACAGTTCATGGATTCTTCTCGACTTGGCCAGTATACAAATTCATCTTCTGCCTATGAACCCCCCCCCAAAGAAAAAATTCCTCTGCAGTGCTGTCAAACATTTGTTTTTTAATTATTCTTGCAAATTGATGCATAATGTTTGCCATCTCCCGTACCTCCCGAGTCACCATTTAATCATGCCCGCTTCACCAAGTCCAGTGGTGATTGTAAAATATACTCAGTAATAACCACTTCCTAGCAGTTCCCACCGAGGTCACTGTAACAACCAAAAATGCTCCCTCTAGAGGTGATATATTAAAATTAATTGACCTAGATCCTGTTTTTGTTATTTTTTTCCACTATGATACATTATAGAACATTTCTCACCTGGAGTTAGTATATTATTTCACAGTTGCTTAAGTAACTAAGACATCCTAGTTTTTACTTCCTATGGATTATGAAAACAGTCCTACAGATGATGAGCATTTTGCCCAGGAATTTCATCAATATTATATTATTTAATTTTTGCAACATATTAGAGAGGTAAAGGATTTTTATTATCTGTCTTTACAGAGGAGGACATCAAGACTCAGGGAAGTCTATACGTTGTCTGAAATCACACTACTGCTAAAGGGTAAGCAACAGAACCTGTCTGGGGAGAGGTTATGCATCAATAAGCTTATGTTGGAATGGAGTACAAAGTGCTCTTTCAGAGACAAGTTAATCCATGTTAGGCTTCAAATGGAGATTAACATAGAAAAAGTCTTTCAGCCTTGAATCAGGCAAGCTTTAAATGTTCATCTATTTTAGGATTAAAAAGAAATATTCAGGCATGGTATTTGAATTCCATCCCTGAAAACTGTGGAGGCCTAAGAAAAAGTTACGGGGTGCACAGGTTGGAGATTTTGTGAGAAATACAGTGATTAGGATAAGACCCCTGCCCCCCACTGCCATGTCTCTTTCTCTCACCAGTTCAAATGGCAAACTCTACTTTGCCTGGCATATCTGTATTTCGATGGGCATTTTCCTGAAAATGCTTAGATACTACTAGTGAAGTCAGAAATAATTCTGAATAATGTTCAAAACAAAGAAGGTTTTGTTTAATCTTACACTGTTGCATCAGAAATGAGCCAACAGTCCAATAAGACTTATCACCCTTTCAAGTTTCAATATAGCTTATTGCCAAGTACATTTTTATTTTTAAAGCTCAGCATAAGGGGAAACAGATTAGCAATTGGGTTTAGTCTATACAAAAGAAGTCTGTAACTGTCAGGGGTTTTAATACATTTTGTCCAAGGAAATGGAAGTAAGACCCTTTTAACAGATATTAAAGATGTTAAGGTAATAATGGACAGGGCCTATACATTTAATCGATATGCACAGACTAAGCACGGAATTTAGGATTGGATGTGATCCTGAATAAATTAATCTGGGCCTTAATTTCCATATCTGAAAAGTGGGAAAACAACATTACGTACCTCCAAGAAGTTAACACGAATTGTAAATTATCAAATTGGCCTAGTAACTGCCGAAGGGATTTTATTAACGGTAGAAGGCAGCAAAAAACAAAAACAAAACCAAAAACAAACCCCCCAAACCGTTCTGAATACACATAGCAAACGAGGGAATAACTGATTATCTTCAAAGACCATGAAAAATACATGCTGCTTCTTAATTCAGCAGCAACTCCGGGCTCATGGTTATTTTGCTTACAAATACATTTGTAGAGCAAAGATCCCTGTATTTTTAACGGTGCTTTCTGAGCTAGGAACTAGTGACTTCGGGCTACTCACAGCATCATGGTCTTGTCAAGTTATAGCAGTGATAAATAATGAAGCCAACAAAGAGAATCTACATATTTAGGGAAAATGTGCACTAATAAATCTGACTTTCATCCCCGGAGTTGAGAATGCAGACATGCAGGATTCCAGCCAGGCCTCCCTCAGCCTGAGACACTGCGATGACCTGTTCTGGGGCAGGTCAAGGTCCTCACTGTCTGCAGAGCAGGCAGGGACTCAGGTGGTTGAGCCTCCCCGCTACAAATGAGCCTGTGTGATGGATGCTTTTGGTGACCGTCTTCTGGTAAGCGACAATAACAAAATACTGACTCATCCAACAAATGAACGTTTTAACAACCCTAAGTGCCTCCAATTTCCACATGCCAAACAGAATAGACCCCTATTGCCAGCTAATTTGAAAATTTACACTCCAGTTTTTAGCTTAAGATTCTCAATTTTGCTGCCATTCTATCATACAGAAGCAGTCTTGGTATTCTGAAGCTGGAGCAAAATGCGACAAAGTGAAGAAGTTCCTACTGCCTGGGCACACAGTCAAATGCATGTCAGCAAGACTAGGGGTTCAATCACAGGCTGTTCTTTCTTGATTAAAAAATTCACTAATCTGATCCTCATGGAAGCAGCTCCTCATTGTTTTTTGTTTTTGTTTTTGTTTTGTGGGCTTACATGTCCTCATAATAACTTCTGAACACCCAACTAATTTTGAGAGTTAAGCTCATCTTGATAAATTTGTTTGCCCTTCTTTTATATAATCCCGAGGCACAGCGAGAAGGACTCAAAGGAGGAGAGAGAGGGGCTATGGCTCAGTCAAGGTCTTAAAAGCACCTTTAAATTGGAACAAAATCGCCTTTGTGTATCTCCTTCCCTGTAATGCATCTGCTGTGCCTGTTGAATGGGGGGAGAAATGATGATAATTAATACTATTGATAGAAGTTTACTGGGGGAGGGCTGGGAAACCTTCCTCTAATGCGGGGTGGGATGAACAGAGCAAAAGGATTAAAAGACAGGTGACTCAGGTTCAAATCCTTCCTCCAGTCATTTGTGTATATGCCCTTAGGCAAGTTACTTCCCTCCATTCTCTTAGCTGTTAAATGAAATAATAGTAACTGTGTCCTAAAGAGGTAGAGAGGATTGAGATTCAGCAAGCTAATACATGTAAACACAGTCACACACTCAAATGTTAGCTGCTATTTTGTTTTTCACAAGTGACATACTGCAACTGAGAGGTCAGGTTAAGGTCGTATGTTAAATGAGGTTACTCAAAAGCCCTTTTCCAAAACCCTCTACTGCCCTGCCAGCATGAGAGAATCAAGTTATGGAGCACATAGGGACAGTAACTGTGACAATACAAAAGGAACCTGTTCAGACTTAAAGACGAGAGAAGTCTAGATGCCCTCCCTAGCGCACGTGCACAGTGAGCCCTGTGGTAAGGTATCAAAATGATTTATGCTTATGGCCTCACAGGCTCATTAATATATAGCAGATGTGCTTTGCTTACCAAGCTCTGGTTGTCTGGCAGCATGACAATGATCTGTGCATTATGATCCCAAATCATTCGCCAGAAATCTTTCGTAGTATGTGGCAGAGGATGCTGGGTTATAATAAATTCATTGCTCCTATAATAGCCCTTCAGTTAGGGAGACGGAAAATCAGCAGTTAGAAACATTTTATTCTGATGTTGTGCTAGTAAAATACGTTCATGAAATAAGACAGTATTGTTCTGACCTCACTTAAACAATTGAAAAAGGCAGTCCGTAGATGTGGCTAATTTTTAGATGTATAGGCTAACACGTGTAGATCATTTTCTCTCCACGTACAATTCCCTTCTAGTACCCCTGCTGTTTTTACTTAACAGCAATTTCAGCATTTATTCAAACACTAGATGGTGGAAATTAACAAGAAAATTAATTTCTTAACAAACCCTTTTCTTAAAGCATTTCTGTATCCCCGCTGATTAGCAGTCTTTTGTTAGAGGTCGCGAGATACAGAAATCTCTCTAATTTTTATTACACATCGAGAAATTATTTGAAAAATGAAATCAGCCACATAGGTGGTATCTGCTCTTTTCCACCTTTTAGTTTAATTGAATTTATTTATAATTAACTGTTGACTCTCACCATGATATAAGAAGCATTAATGTAATCTGTTCCTTTCATTCCAGGCAATGGTGCAAGACCCACTCGGGCACGCTCGGCTATTGTATGGAAAACAAAACAAAACACCACATTTGCCTTGTTACACACACAGAACCAATAATGCTTTCTGAGATTCACTTGGTGAGTAATCTATTTCCCCGGCTCCCCTTTCATTTTAAAACTCACCTATATTTTTAACTAAGCGAAAGTGTCAGCTAAGGCAGAATGGCAATGGAATTCTGCAGTACATTCCCAGAAGGGAAGAGGCATTAGAGGAATAGAATCTTCCTGTGAGAGAGGTTTTCACAGCACATCATGAAGAGAACACTCTGTGCAGACATGACAGAGGATGTCAGATAATTTTTTGGCCCTGGTTTGATATTCCTACAATTATACCAACACATTGTACTTTTTGCTCTTTTGCCATTCCCTTACCCATATTTTTCTCCCCATAATGCACTGAGAAAACCGGGGCCTTTGTCGGTAGAGAGAATCTGTCTAGTGATCACCCATGCTTGTGTCTACAGCACACACAGCATCCTCTGCTGGGTCCTGAGTTATTCATACAACGGTCCGCATCTACCCACCGTGCTTCGATCTCAATAGCCAGAATCATGTAATGATGCATTCCAATTGTACAGATTAATCAGATTCTTAAGATTTCTAGGAGCATCAATGCCACCGTGATCATGGCTTTGCCTTTTTTTTTTTTTAAAGTTAAAATGGAGAAGTACCGTAATTCTTGAGTTGTGAGGTCAACGGAAGCTAGACTTCATGTCACACTAAAGGAGCAGTTTGCTGGCCTGGACAGCCACCCTTCCCAATTTGATCACACTGCCTCAATTTTCCTGGCGTAACAATTCCCCTTGGTAGTCACGGCCTCTTTACATAATACATAAAATTCAATGAAAAAATACTAACACACTCAACCAAGTCAAGCTGATTTTAAGATCTTACATGGCACGACTGAAGAGTTTCGGTTCTTTTCTTTGTTACACTCTTTCTGAGCACTAAAGCATTCCACGTACTTGGCATTACATTGTGTAACCAGCTGAAAGAAAGGCAACATTTTAGTTTTCATTCATTAACCAACCTTATTGTGATAATCATTTTATAATATATGCAAGCCTCAGGTCATTACTTTCTACACCTTGTACAATGCCATGTATCAGTCACATCTCAGTAAAGCTGGGAAACAACAAAACAAAGTTATAGTTGATAGCATTTGCTTGATGATCTGGCAGACAAAGGCCAGTCAGCAATTGGATTACTGAAGAGCCAAAACATTTTTCTATCCCAAAGACCATTTTTCTATCAGTAGTGGTTACTTCTGTCCCATTACCGTGGCTATGTTTGTCTTATTTCTCCTGTCAGGCCATAGGCTTCTAATAACAGGTTCAAGATGGGCAGTAGATATTATTGCATTGATCTGGATTTTTCTGCTGAAAATGTCACGCTTTTTGGCATTTGTCTTCTGTCATTTCTCCTAGGCACATGAGATTCAGGTGGGTCTACGCTAGGAAAGACTGCTTTGTGGTCACAGGAGCGAATCATGTTTCTTGAACGTAACTAACTAGGTTCTCGGTACATTTCTGTCGAACTAAACTAACATTGTTCTAAGGCCATTATACATGGCCCAGTAGTTTGGTTATTCTTCTTGTTCTTCTATAACTTGGTCGAGCACTATGTCAGTCCTCTGTTTTGTTTTTTTTAGTGGGGAGGGAGTCCATCTCAACATGAGGGAACAACCTCCTCCATACACTTTTGTCCTACTGTCCCCCGCCTGGGGGCAGTTTTCAAGTTTCTCACGCTTGTTTTTCCCCTTCTACTTAAGTTCTAAAGTGGTTAGTTCCTACCGAAGAACCAATTACCTGGTCTCCAATGGAATGAAGAGATTTCTTTTAAAAAATTCATCAAAATATGTGGAAATAAATATTGCAGAAATAGAACTTAAGAAATATTGGTCCTTAATTTTTTTAAGGAATTACTTTTAAACATTTAAAATGGGATATAATGTCATTAATTACCTCAAATGGTTTTTCGAATAGTTAGGATGTTATAAAAGGACAGCTAGAAATTTAAGGTTGCTATGGAATGAAAAATAGATTAAGTTCGCTCATTAATTTGCATGGCAGTCTCTCGGATTCAAATGATGGTTTCAGAATCTATGGAAAGTTTTACATGAAAAGTATGACTGCACAGATTCGCTCTATTTTTTCCACCTTGATACAGAATGAGAAATTACATATGGAATAATGCCAAAAAAATTTAAAAGACTATGAGAGACTAATAAATAAGAAAGTACTTAGTAATTTTGAGGAACAGTGTTGGAAGGTTAGAATAAAGGACTGAGCTCTTAATTAATGTCTTTATAGTATTGTTTTTTTGTGTGTTTGTTTTAACTTTTCCCTCAGTTACTTCCATATAAACCTCAACTGCCTTTAAACTTCTTCATGCCCTTATCCATGTGAAAGAAGAATCCTTTGGGGAAAGTTAACCTCTCTCGGGTATTCCTTGATAACTCCTTCTCAGTTTCTAAACTATCTGATAGTCTTTCAAATAGATTATTTGTTGACATACTGTCCTAAAAATAAAACCTTCTTAAGGGTAAGATAAGTTAGTTCAGAAAAAATACAGCGACTCTTTTTTGGACTAGAGTGACCGACTCCAACCATTAGGTCACTGTGGCCGGGGGCTGCTGCTGTTTACGTTCAGATGAAACGCGAAGTGGCTCAGAAGGTAATACCGCACCGCGCCATCAGCTTGGATCCCAACCGTTCACCCCCAGGTGGAAACATTACTCTCTTCCTGCTACATTTGAAGAATACCAACGGTAATGCCTTTCAGTCTACACATTCATGCCAAAAAGTTATGACCCTCCCCAAACTCAAGCCAGTTCTTTACTTCTTTCAGAACACTACCTTGAATTGTTTCTCCAGCCGTGTCTTTCCTCCTACTCCTGGTATGAGGATGCTGTTAACATAGCTGTGCAGCTGATTCGAAGATACTTCGGTCTCCTTTCCTAGAATGGCTTCCAACAAGGCATCATGGATGAAAATGTACTGCTCCTAAAAGGGACAGAATGAGGAGAGCTGGTCAGGGGTAGCCACCTCTGTCCAAGTCATGAAACTGACCTCACATCAACTCTGCTCTCAGGGACTGCCCCGTGAACTCCTTCAGACATTTACAGCTAGATGCCTTGCTCCAATACTCCCCGGTTTATCCCTCATAAATTATTTTTGGGTCAAGACTCTGTTTTTCCATACCATGCCCAATGCAGCAGCAAGCCATGGAGAAATGTGTTTCACGAAGGCCTTTAGAACCGTTCTACTTTTCAGGCCAGACAACATGTTTAATTCCTCCTCACATCGAACACAGCACTAGATACAGCTGTGTCTGCTTCTTTTTTTTAAGATTTTATTTATTTGCCAGAGAGAGATCACAAGCAGACAGAGACGGAGGCAGAGAGAGAGGGGGAGGGAAAAGCAGGCTCCCCGTTGAGCAGAGAGCCCGATGCAGGGCCCGATCCCAGGACCCCGAGATCATGACCTGAGCTGAAGGCAAGAGGCTTAACCCACTGAGCCACCAGTGTTGGTGTAGTGACTGAGAAATCACACAGAAGATCCTCACAGAAAGGGATAAACGGGGAGTCAAAGAATAGTATCATGGTCTGCATAGCTTCCGCTACAAACCTGTGCATTCCTTCAGGTCCTACCAGAATGAATCTTCTCCTCAGTACCATTCCACTTTGCTTTAAAGCACATGCTAGAATCTCTCGAGAGCCCCTGCAGCCGCTCCTCACCTCAGTCTGGACGAGGTAGTTACGCTGTGTCCTGATATGCTTCAGGAATCCCAGGACGTTAACTGTGCTTTTGTCTTTGATCTGCTGCAGCATGCTGTCTATTACGATGTAGGTGCCGGTCCTGCCCACACCAGCGCTGGAAGAAAGGAAGACACTCAGCGGCTACCTTTTGCTCTACTGTGTCATGCATTAACTGTAGACTGAAAAAATTACTAAGTATCAAATGAGCTTAGAAATAACCTTGTTTAGATAACCTAGTAGAGAGCTGACAGATTATTCACTGTGGACAGCATCCAACAACTTCATGAGGACATTTCCCACGAGTCTTGATGGGGGGCAGAGACAGCCTTTTATAAAGACCACAGGAGCTGCAGTGAAATGATGCACGTGTATTTGCTTTCGCAGCCTTGCTTGCTGCTCAAGCCAAGGATGTAAGTCAGTGATGCAAGGGATGGAGAGCGGCCCTTCCTGGCAGAGCCATCCCCGCACCAGAACCCTGTCTGCTGAGGACCCAGGTAGGGAGTTTGTGTCCCTGACGCCCAAGTTTGTGCCTGGTTCTGGAGCACCCATTATCCTTTCAATAAGTGCCCTTTCTGCACACCTTCCTAGTCTGTTCAGTACTAGAAAGTTCCCATCTAAAGGGTGCCTTCCTTTAGTCAGCCCGGTATGGAATCAGAATGGCATGCCTGCAAACTCTGGCCTCTTTTATCCACAGTTCCTCATTGTTAAAGAAACACCACCACTCAGGAAGATGGGAGTTCCACCGTACTGAGTACTGATTAATGGGCTGCTTTTGTCAGAGTCCCCCAGCAGGCTCCCCGCCTCCCACGACCACACCATTGATACCCCAGCTCTTCGACACTTCCATGTCTCTTTTAGCGACTCCTCAATGGGTCAGCAAAAAAAATGTACTTTTCATGAGGCTTTAAAGAGGAGGTGGGTTCCAACACCTGCCAAGCACTTGCTCTGTGGCTGCATGTCACGAAAAGCAGCCCAGAAGAAATGCTTAGAAAACGCCATGTCCCTCTGCAACATAGCTCACAGAAGAGGGAGCATCTGTTTGGATACCAAAGTTAAAAAAAAAAAAAAAAAGGAATTCCAAGAATACAATCACAAATGAAAGATAATAAAAGTATTTTTAAACTACCTACTGAAATTGTTTAAGGTAGTTAAGGGAAAAAAGGCCTTCTCGGTGCTTTCAAAAAGGTCTTTTTTAGAGCATGTATCAACTAAAAAATTAAAAATCTTTTCACTCCTACAATACCTTTTATTATGTAGAGGAACCCTACAGAGAAGCCACCTATAAAATCTCAAACTCCCTAGTGTAAGAAGCCCTGAACTTGTGTTTAAGGTCAGATTTCTATGTAATAGGAGCAGCTTCAAGATTCCCTGTAAACAATGGGGATTTTATTAATAATGGAGGTTATAAAAACTGGAAATGCATTCTCTAAGAGCAGATTTTGTTTTGGCCCCAGAAGTAGCAGGTGACTTCCGGTATTTTGAGAATACGGGGATTTTACAGACCCTAACAGGCTGTGCTGGTCCCAGTTTACAGTGGAAGACTCCCGTTTCTAAAAACACAGGGCCCCAGTGGTCCCCATCTTCCCACCCTGCCCACTTCAGATGTTGGAACCCAGGTGCAAGAAGGAGAAAGATGTTGGCCCCACCTGCAGTGCACCAACACAGGGCCCATTTCTGGTGTCCGGGCGGCCGAGGATCGCCTCACGAAGGTCAGGACCGGGAGCGCATACTCAGGAACTCCCATGTCAGGCCACTGAGTGTAGTGATACTGAATCACGACCCGTTCATTTTGACGACCCTTGGGATTTCCCTTCTGACCCTAGGAGAAAGGTGAAAAGAGAGGTCTGTAAGCAGACAGGTGGCATTCTGGATTAAAAAAATAATAATGATGAAAGGATGTAGGAAACAGGACGTTGCATTTCATGTGCCCTAAGTACTGTTCCTGAGCTAGGTACTTTCCCCTCGGTAGCTGTCTCGGGCCAGGAACAGAGATGCTACCTAGCTGGGTGTGAAGTAGCACACGTCTCCTGGGAGAGAAAATGGGGGAAGACTACACCAGGAAGGAACACTGAATACCAGTTTTCTGGATGTGGAACCATCTCCAGCACTCTGTAATTTGCTTACCCAGCCTCCACGTTAACTTCCTGCCATGACTCCCGTCCTTTCTCTGTGGTCTGGGTTGGACCATCAGGATTCTGAGTGCTGGCTGCTGTTATACGTCCTCTGGAAAGTGATTCTCAGTCTCCAGCGTCAATAATAAATTTACCTGTCGCTTTCATAAATGAATTTTTCAGAGCCGTTTTCCTTTAAGTGGCTGAACTTTTTACATTTTAACTACTTTGGATGAAAAATTTCCCCAAACAGGTAACTTGCTGCTGTAGGTTTTTCTTACAGCCAATAACTGGATAAATGCCTGAAAATTTCCTATTTTTTTTTTGAGGACTCTAGGTCATTAATCAGCCAGAGCATGTAAGGTCTTTGGCCCTGGGCTACAGAAGCCCAATGGTTTTGATTTCTGAAATCTTGTTAACCCTCCTTTTCCTATCTTTCTCTTTCTCCTTTTTCCTCTTGCACAAAACACCCAAAGTTCCTATTTGACTTCTGTCCTCTGACCTGAGTGGTTTTAAAATAAGAGGGCAATGTTTAAATACCTGAAGGGTTTCCATGAGTAATGGGCTTTGGAAATGTAAGCTGGTTATTGGTTGGTTAGTTGAAGCCAGCTAACAGCTCTATTAGAAGACAGATAAATATAGTGCTACTTGACTTTTATATACTTCTGCCATTCTAGGAAAAAAAAAAACTAAACATAGAAAAAGACTGTTAACCTTGGATCACAGATGGATTTTGGAGCCAATGAAATTATATATAAAAATTTGAATAAATGTGAATTCTTCTGGGGCCGGGGGCTGTAGTTTGAGCACATTCTCCAAGATGGCCAAGACTTTAAAAAAAAAAAAAAAATCACACCCATTGCTACATACATGTGCCATTCCTAAGTCTTTCTACAGCAATTACTTTACATTTCCTTAATGAACATCCACCTAGAGTTCCTAGCAATGGGGTCACGGTCCATGAACCTTGATGGAACAGCAGATTTTGAACAAAAGAAATTGAGATAACTTGAAAGCAGCATTTTCCACAAAGTGTGGAACTTGGATGTTAACAGTTATATTGGGAAGTGTTATGCTGAGTTGCCTTAGGAAATACTAGGCAAAAAAAAGTTAAAGAGGTTTCTTAACTAGCACTCTGGCCACTTGTGTGCATTGTACATATTTCTAAAGGGGAATGCATAGTATGTAGCATTCATTCTCCACATTTATTAAATAGCACCGTTTCCTTTTTGCAAGCATCTTGCAGGGTAAGCATTCCTTGGAACACAGTTTGGGAAAATAATGCTTGAAAACTCTCAGAAGGTTGCTACTGAAAAGCTAAATCCACAAACAGATGCTGCTCTAGTTGCTGGTCACTGAGACCTAGAAGTTCATTTTTTTTTTTTTTTTAAATGAAGCTCTCAAGAGGAGATTAAAGAATTTAATCAGGCCAGTTAAATTCTATTATGTGCTCTGCCAGTATCTTTCACAGCATACATTGATGTCAATCAAAGGAGTTGTGAAAAAATGTTTTTTTAAAAATACTTTTTTAAAGCCAAGTTGGTTCTGAGAATTGGCCTTGGTTGTACAGTAATTTTCATACAAGTTTCAAGAGCGATGCCCTGGCAGCCCACCCATATTCCTTCAATACCTTTTTCACTTTTGTATTTCTGACTGAAAAACGACGAACAGTGTAGCAGGCATGTACTTTTGTGCTCTTCAGTGTGACAATAATGTTTCCATACTCCTCACTATTCTCTGTTGGCCAATACTGATCACATTTTCGCTGCAAAAAGGAAAAAGTTGTCAGTTCCAACTGTAATTGATGCCGCATTTGTACTGTCGGTAATGTGATCTCCAGTGTCTTGAAAACAGGTAATATCACCCTGTAGTTGACCCGAAAAAGGAACATACGGGCCCCGTGGCTTAGAGGTAGACATACCTCTGAAGAGTTTAACCTTGGGACAACTTTGGGTGAGATCATTTGTGAAATGGGTCTCATATATTCATGAACATCTTTTAACAGACAGTGTACTTTAAAGAGGGCCTCAGAAAGAAACCTGTGCTTGGCCTATAAGAAATACAGCTGGCTATGTTAGGACACTGGGCTGCCTTCAGAGTTGCAAGAGAGTCTTGTAACAGTGAAAATCTTCATTTTACCAATTGGGTCACCAAAGGTGAAATAGGGACTCCACAGTCAAGGTGAAGAAGTAGCAATCCTGAGTAACAGAATTTGAGGCTTAGCCTTTATTCCAGCCTAAATCAGCACCATGTAAACTCTTAATCTACTAACTCTAAAATATTAACCATCTTATAAAAAGGTTCTCTTAATGATGGTCAAGTGTTTCAACAGGGTTTCCCCTCACCCTCCTCCAAACTCTCAGTAGTTCTCCCACTGTACTGTGTGTCTTCGAACTTCCCTGTTTGTTGTGCTTTCTGTCGTATCTCTTAGAAGGTCCTTCTCTAACTCCTCCTCCCTCATTGTTCACAGCTCACCTCACATACTAGCTCCTTTATGAACTCTCAGTTCTAGAGGATGTATCCATCTTTTACAGCATCCCCATTCTAATACTCTGTGCATCCCTCCTGCCATGTTTAATTCCCTCTTGTAAGCATTCAGCTCTTTCTCACCAGACCACAAGCAAGGTAGGGGCAAGAGAAGATGCTTTTCATCTCCTTAACTCTTTATACCCGGTCAAGTTCCTGCCTTACAGCAGGGGCTCCATAAGGAGGTTTTGAATGAAGGCACATGATTAAGACATTAAACCAAGAGGTTCTTACCCTTCCTTTTTCCACAAGGTTTGTAATCATGATAATGATTCCAGTGTTTTGTTCCCAAATCATCCTCCAGAAATCTTCAAATGTAGACTTTAAAGGTCCCTGGGTGGCGATATAGGCTTTCGCTTTGTTGTAACCCTTCAAAGATGACACAACACAAAGTAAGATGAAAGCAGTATCACAGACCAGTTAATAATTCAGTGCCTTCCATATTGAATAGGCTGTGGTTTTAGGAAAAGCTCTGTGCAGTATTAAAACACATTCAACAGTCTCTGTGGCACTCTTCAATTATGAGAAACAGGTTTATAAAACATTTCTGACTTACATCGACATAGTTTGCATTAATGTAGTCGCTGTGCTTAGAGTCTTTTCCTGGTAAAGGTCTTAACTTCACCCTACTGTGATCATCTATAGAGGATAAAGAAAAAAAAAAAAAAAGCAAAAACAACATGTGTAATTCACAAACTACCAGCATTCTAAAGCAGAAAACAAGGCAAATAGGCAATGTGGCGTCTCTTAGAGCGCCCCAAGAAAACTTTTGGCAGAGCAACAGCTAAAAATTTAAAGATACAGCATTGAAACCCATCTTAAAAACACAGGGGCATTTCTCCATCATGTTCTGACCTGTGAGTGCCCAAGAAATGCAAACTGGGGGGCGGGGGGCACCTGGGTGGCTCAGTTGTTCATCGTCTGCCTTCTGCTCCGGTCATGATCCCAGAGTCCTGGGATCGAGCCCCACATTGGGCTCCCTGCTCGGCGGGAAGACTGCTTCTCCCTCTCCCACTCCCCCTGCTTGTGTTCCCTCTCTTGCTGTGTCTCTCTCTATCAAATAAGTAAAATCTTAAAAAAAAAAAAAAAAAAAGGAAAGGCAAACCGAAGTCCTTGTTAGTTCAGGTAAAATGATTTCAAGTTTCAACCCTCCAAAGTATCCTTGTCCTGGATTTTAGAACCAAAGCCTTTGATTGCCCATGGCCATATCCCTTTTCTTTTAACACATATGTGCAAAAGTGATTGTGATATTAAGTCCAAAACAAAATCTATTTGTTGAGCATCTATTTTCAGGAGACTCCTTTGCTAAAAATCTAGTTAGATTCCCCCCTACCCCAATAGAACCTAAGTAATTGAGGAAACCAGAGCTGTCCTGAGAGTAATCTCATTGCAGCAATCTGGCCAATGATCAGAATTTAAGATCCTCTTAACCTCAGCTTATGAACATAAAAGTGGGGAGTGGGATATATGCCTCTTGTTGCCCAGCAAAGTGAGCTTGAATTTTTAGGAGAGCAAATAAAATAAGAAGTCAAGGTCATAATTTCATTTTCTCTAGCTAGGAACAGAATGGGCAAAAGTAAATTAACATTTCTGGTTATAATTATAAAAGTCCAGTTCAAGAAGTAGTCCAATGAGTGGTTTAGCCTAGACATTAATAACCTCAGACTATCTATCAGGCACTTTTTGAAAGCCCTCTTCATTCTTGTGACTGTGAATTGCATTTGTTGTTCTGACAAACGCTCAGACTACACTTGTCATGCAGAAGGGCTGCCTACCAGAAATAGGCTCCAAATGACAATTTACCCCCCAAATTATCTGAATACAAACCACTGTGCCTTAGCTCAGTAGCACTATATTGCATATTATTTTTCAGACTGACAAATAAGAATACATGTTCCTCAAGTTGCAAAATTCATATTTAATCTAAAAGAGAATAAGCTCTCTAAATAGGTCAATACAGGAGGTGGTTCGGTATCACCCACATATACTTGGAAAGGTGTAATGGCTCTGAGAGAAGGCTTTTCACACATTTTGTTTCTTGCACAGTAAGTTGTTTCATGACACTTCCATCCCGGCTTCTGCTATACTAAGCCCTTAATATAGGGGTAGACCAAGATGACAGGTGATGTGTCCAGGATCTGACCAGGCATCATGAACACCAGAGTCCAACTTTCTGAACTTAGGAAAAGAAAACTGCATCTAATCTGAATTTGTGAAAGTGAAACCATAAATGAACTGGTGAGAATACGACCATATCAAACCACAGATGGTACACTTTCCAGGCAATACCATGACCCTTGGGTGTATCACGCAGGCACTGCTTTGATTTCCTCCATTTTGCCACATGTTTATCAGAAGTAAGGACTGCCATGGTGGAAAGAATGGTATGTGTGGATATACTCAAGGCACACATGTGTATGTATCCCTGCCTGACATACATGGTTAGAAATGAGGTATATAGACGGACAAATCATAATCTAAGCAAGCTGAGCCTAGGTTGGCCAACAAATACAGTCAGATTCCATCCATTCAAAGGCTGGAAAGAAAAGCAAGGTTTGACTCTTTCTTGTTCTCTTTGTTACCTCCTCATTCTCTCACATAAGTGGAACGATTACTCTTATTCCAAAATGACTTGTGGTTCTTTTAAGACTTTATGTAGAGTAAGAAGTAAAACTCTATTAGTAGATGACATTATCTTACATATAAAATTTCCAAGGAATCCACAAAAAATCACTACTAGAATAAATGAGTTCAGCCAAGATTGTAGGATATGTGATTAATGTTAAACAACAGCAACTGTATTTCTATACACAATGAAAGATCTCAAAATTAAGTAAATAATTCCAGTGACCATAGTGTCAAAAAGAATACTTAAGTTCAATAAAAAGTATAACACAATGCAAACTATATAAGACATCATTGAAAGAAACAAAAGATGACCTCAATAAATGGAAAGACATCCCATCTTCATGGATGGAAAACAGTACTGTAAAAATTAATCCACAGATTCAATGCAATGCCTATCAAAATCCCAGCTACATCTTTTGCAGTAATAGAAAAGTTGATCCTAAAACTGATACGGAAACACAAAGGACCAGAATAACCAAAAAAATCTTGAAAAAGAAGAACAAACATGGAGCAGTCACAGTTTCCGAGTTCAAAATATACTACAAAGCTATAGTCTGTGATCAAGACGAAGTGGTACTGGCCTACGGATAGACATGTAGATCAGTGGAAGAGAACTAAGAGTCTAGAAGTAAACTCTTACATTTATAGACAGTTGAATTTCAATAAGGGCACTAAGACGATTCAGTGGCCGAAAGAAGAGTCTTTTCTACAAATAGTGCTAGGACAACTGGCTATCAACAGCAAAAGAATAAACTTGGACCCTACCTCATATACATAAGAGTTATTTGGATAAAAGACCTAAATGTAAGAGCTAAAACCATAAAACTCTGACAAAAACTAATGTGAAATCTTGATGATTTTGGACTAGGCAGTGGTTTCTTGGATATAACACCAAAAGCACAGGCAACAAAAGAAAAATTAAGTTTCACCCAAATTAAAATAATTTGTGCTTCTAAGGACACTATCAAGAAAGTGAAAGGACCATGCACGGAATGGAAGAAAATATTTGCCAACTATTTATCTATCTATATAGATTTGCATTCATATCTAGAATGTATACAGAACTCCTACAACTCAGCAACAAAAAGACAAAGGGCAAAGAATTTGAATAGATATTTCCCCAAAGATGATCTACAAACAGCCAATAAATACATGAAAAGGTACTCAACATTACTAATCATTAGGGAAATGCAAATTAAAATGACAGTGAGATACCACCTCACACCTGTTAGCATAGTTATTTATGTATCTATAGATATAGATGTATAGATATATCTATAGATACAGATATGTAAAAGTAACAAGTGTTGATGAGAATATGGACACTGGGACTCTCGTATTGCTGGGGGCAATGTAAAATGGTACAGGCACTTTAGAAAACAGTATGGCAGATCTTCAAAATGTTAAACATAGAGTTACCATATGACCTAGCTAGTCTACTCCTAAGTACATATCCAAGAGAATTGAAAATATATGTCTGCACAAATGTTCATAGCAGCATTATTCATAATAGCCAAAAAGTAGAAACAACCCAAATGTCCATCAAATGATGAATGAATAAACGCAATGTGGCATATACACATCGTGGAGTATTTTTCAGCCATAAAAAGGAACAAAGTACCAATCTAAGCGACAACACGGATGAATTCTGAAAACACCCGGCTAACTGGAACAGACCCAGACAAAAAAGGCCACAGATTCTATGATTCCATTTATATGAAATGTCCAGAATTGGCAAATATATAGAAATAGAAAGTAGGTAAGTGGCTTCTAGGGGTCAGGGAAAAGGAGGTATTGGGAATGACTACTAATGGGTATGGGGTTTCTTGTTGGGGTGCTGAAGAGGTTCTAAAATTAGATAGTCGTGATGGTCGTACAACTGTGAATATACTAAAAACCACTGAAATTCAGTTTATATTTAAATCCCCATATAAATATAAATTAACTTTAAATGGGTGAATTTCATATGGTATGTGATTTTTTAACTCAGTAAAGCATTATAAAAAGCTTTATCTATAGTAGTGTTCAAATTTAAATGGTTCAATTTAATGCACTATAAAATCCTATGGAATGTGTTCCTTACCACAGTGTTTGTTAACCATAAACACGTGTGCTCCTGCCTTTAGTGTCAAGGCATCTAATATCACCCAGTGACCCAAAACCTTAATGTCTATGAGAAGTAGTATGGTAGCCAGAGAAGTAGCCTGTTTCCTAGGGTATTCCCGTAAGGACCTGTAAGAAGAATGCTTATCTATTTGCATCCCTAACCACAAAATATGGCAGGAAGGATGAAATGCATGGGCCCCAAGGACTGGTGGTTCCATCCCTTAAGGTACAGACCACTGGAGGCATAGTACCTGGTCTCAGAAATTCAGCTTATTGATTCCATTTTCAGCAGTCCTTATTTTATTTGAAAACTTGGCTCTCCCCACCTAAAAACAATGTCTAGAGAGCCACAGGACATTCAGACTTTGGTTCCCAACATCTGGTATGAAATCACTTCATGAGAGAACCATGAAGCTCAGAATGTTTCTTTCAATCACCTCATTCTTAAGCGGAGATCCGACAGCTTAAGGAAAGACTCAGGGGGCTGTAAATGTCCCCACTTCTTCCTGTCCCCTGTTGAAGATGGGCTAATGAGAGGTTAACTGTCGAGTGTAGATCATTCTTGGCATTCCTGATGCTGACTGCTTGGCTTTCGGCTTATCCCCAGCATGAAGATTTAATTTCCTCACAGTTGAAGATAGTTTAAAGTTTATTACTTACATGCTAAAATGTTGATGTATCTGTTTTTGTGCTTGTTATCTGGATGATTGGAATGTTCTGCAGTGATGTTCATATCAGCCGTACAGCGCTGGACTTCCTGGTGAAAAAAAAAAACATCAAAATTTCAAAGATTTTAGACACACTTTCAGTGTCTCACAAGGTTGTAGGAAGAAAGGAACTATAGATCCAAAAACATGAATATTTACTCATTCCCTAGCTGTGGCCACCATTACTTCCCCACACTCAACTTCAGAAATAACTGACATATTCATAACAAATGTATAAAAGATGTGAAGAAGATAAAAGGATTTCCTTTTTTACTAATTCATCAATCATCTACTTCATTGCAGATTGTGACCTAGGCATGGGGATTACAAAACATCCTATCTCTCTTTGACTATGTCATAGCCTGATGGGGTAGGAAAACCTGCCACAAGATAATGACAGTCCAATGTGATTAATAGAAAGGAGGCCTCAAGAAACGAGGGTGGGAGCACAGAGGAAGGCTTTAGGCAGATCATTCCTGAGTCTTCAAGGATGAACAAGAATTTTGCAGGCAGCAGTACAATCTCCACCAGCATCTGCAGTATGAGTGTAGACCTTATACCTCCTTTTATAACTATCAGAGCTCAAATGGATTACCCTCTGTCCTGAAGTGACGCTACTGTATTAGCCCAGTGACCTGGCCTGTGTGGCTCAAATATATACAGATTTGGTGAGTTACTTGTGAACTCCAGTTTCATTTAAATTCTCCTTCTTTAGTTGGCAACTCTTCAGCTGACCTTTGCCACGACTGTAAACATCACCCATTAGCGTAATACAAGGTTGCTGTGAAGTCCAATTTTTCGACAGTGTCTTGTTCAAACCCAAGTACCAGCGTTAACCGACAAGGGAAGTCATCAGCAGTACACAGCTGCTACGAAGAGCAGGAGCAAGCGACAGAAAATCATCAGGAGAAATATTTTACACGTAACAGATGTAACAGAGTTTAGGTGCATGCAGACTTTTTTTCCCCCTCCACAAAGGAGATGCACAGCAAGTATGGATGTCTTCCACAGCATTTCCATCAGGCATAATGAAAACAAGGAACTGGCGGTCTTTTATATTCACAAAGCACTTCCCAGTGAGGGGTCCCTCTCTTCTCTCCACGGAGGAACGAACTCCCTGTCATCAAATAATCTAAAGTCTAAAAACAAAGGGTCACTACCCATGCAAAGAGAACACACTCATGAACTCCTGATTCTTGGAAGCAGTATGGTCAATTTTTCAGAGTTGCAGACCTTCCCAGTTATTAAAAAAAAAAAAAAAAAGTTCACAGGTATTAATTCAACACAACTCTTGGGGAAAATGTGTGTTTCACAACAATTCTTACTCTTTCGTTACGTTTCCTAAATGTGATAAGCTCTGCTCTTTTCTCTTCTAAAATGGTTTAGGACTGTGGTTTCACAAATGTTGGTTTAAAGGGGCCTCAGGCTGCCTTTGGTTCTTTTTTTTCTAGACTGAGATAAAGGGTAGACAGAAAGTGAGGAGTCTGATACCTTGACCTCTCCAAAACGTAAGCAATGCTACCTCTACTCAAAGTACTTGGGGGGTACTGGCCTTTTAGAATCGCCTTGAACGCCTGAGGCATACTCTCTTCAGTAGTTTCAGGGGGCAGAGAACTTTTGAAAATAGATTTGTTTTCTGGAAGACATTAATTCAATCTATACATAAATTCCCAAAATTGATGACATCCTTTTGTTTCTGGGTTTTGAAGGTCAGGCTTTTGGCATGGGCTGGGTTGCTAAAGCATCTTGTGTTAAGAGATGATAGCTTTTCGTCCTCTGGTTTGAGATTCACTTGGTTTATTGATTTTTTTCCCCATTGTCTGGATCTGACCACCCTAGCTATGGACTGAGCTCGGGCCTTTATTCTAATATAATGCAATTGACCAGGACTGCTCGGGAGCAGCTGTCTGCACTGTTTAGGGCAGTCATTCAATACGGCCAATCAAACTCTTCGTTATCTAAGACCCTGGATCTGATCCGTGGCCTCTATTTCACTTTTCCAATTATGTGAATGACAGAAAACAAAGAATAGTCATAAATAATGTTAAATCTGATTTTACGAGAACCCGAGGGGTTTGCCTATGGCCTCCTGATTTTGTCTTGTGGATAATAACGTCATCTGTAATTTCTTGCAGAACTGTTTGGCTCATTTAGATGCTGAGAAGATCATCTGATCCTGGAGTGGCTTTTCTCCATCAGAAACTGGCATTTCAACGTTAATGTGATTTTAATAGGTGTTAAAACCCTCTGGAGTGACACCGGCTGATGGAGTGTGGATAGCAAAGTTACCTAGCTGGCAGTCTGACCAACAGTTCAAGATTTAAGCTTCTTTGTATTTTACTGTCCATATGACAGAGTTGGAGTTCTCAGAATGAGTATCGACAGGCACAAAACCACAAAAAAAAAAGCCAAGCGAAAACAAGAGGTGTAAAAATAAAACTTAAACGAAAACACCGCCAAGTTGATAGAGTCACAGTTCCTGGGAGAGCGAGTGGGGGAAGTTGCCTGCTGCCTGGGGTCAATGAGGTGAGAAGCTATGGAAAAGGCCCCTGGAGACCTACTGTCCCACCCTTCTGTGGCTCGATGTGCAAGCATGATGGAAAACACACCTGGAAACCTTTTAGGTTACTCAGCTTCCCCAAGGAAGTTGAGAAGAACATACTCTGGGGACCAGGTGACTGATCACGTGTTAGACTGAGTATTGAGAACATTCTCAGTGTGTGCTACTGAAGGTGATCTCTTTAGGTGATCACCATGGCCTGGTGTTTGCCTTGTGGCTGACACAGAGCTGGCCTTGCTGGCTACCTGGGACAGGCCATCTTCCTGTTTCTGCTTAGGCTACGAACCGCGGCCATGCCCCATGTCTTCAAATGCTGCTGCTTTGACTCCAGAAACTTCTGGATGGAACTCAGATTCCTTAGCCAGGCTTTCAAGGTCCCATCCTACCTTCCGTCAGCTCCCTTCCCACTCCCAGACAGTTTTACCTCAGTGCCCTCTGAAAAGACCGTAGGATTTCCTGCAGTGGGTCTATAAAATACAATTACTTTTTGCACACTATTTGTAGGAATTTTGGCTCTGTTTCTCTCTTCACTTTTCATAAAAACCGCAACTATGGTTTTCTTCAGGCAAAGGGTTTAAAAATGTTAAGACATTTCAGACCCTAACTGGCGTCTTGTCACAGGACTTGAGTCCCTTTCTGCCATCTTGCAGGCTGCAGTCTCATGCAGCACGACCCGCCCCCCACCCCCTTTCCGGCAACATCCTATTATGTGTCACCGGCAACTTGGAACACTGGATCTCACATAATGTGATTGGGACCACTGATCCCTCGAGCGCATGGGCTCAGGTGGACAAAGCTTTGTTCTCCTAATTTAAGATGAACAGCTGGCCCAAATTTAGCTCAGCTAGAGTTAATTATAAGCCAGGCGATTCCCCCAAAGGATCTCGTCAAGGGGTACTGGACCTCTGGCCTCGTCTCTGCCCTCAGCCTTCCAACTTGTGATGCACCTGACTGCCGCCTGTTAATTCTGTCGACCCACATGGCCTCGGAGCTCTCTCCTTTCGAAAGGTAGTGCTAGCACTGTTTGGAAACTCCTGCACGAGGGCTGCGGAGGCCAGGGAAGAGTGAGGTTCAAGTCAGCCCAGGTAGCCAAGGGAACATTCATCGAACGCCATTCCGAGACAAGGATTGATGTTATTTCCAGTGACTGCAAAATCTGCTAGAGGTATAATGTTGCCAGCTCTTAACAGTCTCCAACATTTATCTGACAAGGACAAAATGCTTGCTGCCTCACCTCTAGACAAAGACTCAAAATTACCAGTGAATTGTTTTTCTCATTCTTCTCCAAGCAGCAAAATTCTGAAAATAGGACAGCTATTCACCATTTTTTTTCCCCACTTTCATCCAAGATTTTAAAACAAGATGGGGCAAATAGAAATTCTTCTTTTTTGACCTCCTCCGGAACTTTCTATCCATATTTAGCGTGTACTTTGCTTCGCCCACTCTGGTCTCCACCCTGACCAGACTGAAGTCCTCGAGGGCAAGGTCTCAAATTCAACTCTGTACTTTGTATTGTGTCCACAGAATAGCAGGTACTTGGTGACTGTCAGTTGAATTCCCTTTCTCTCCTTTTTTTTTTTTTTTTTTTTTTAAGTATAAGGTGATGTGACTAACTTTGCCTAACTTGTGGCCTATATGCAGATGTTGTATAAGATTTTTGTAAGTCAGATTCTCAACTCTCTGGAAGGCTCTAGGCTGTAAAGATCATGTAATGGGCTCCCAATATTTTTAGTGGGGTGGGGAGGCTCCTTATTTTTTTTCCTTATTTCCTCTCCTGCCCTCCCCCTCCCCCCACCTCTGGCTTGTCAGCTGCATGATCAGTTTTAGACAATCACTGGTCATCTCAGGTTTTTCCCTCTTCCTGAATCTGGGTCACTACAGGACACTACTTTAATGAGAGTCTGGAGGGCCTCGAGGTCACACACGGGGGCTTGAGTCTGAGAGCCTGGGCTTAACACCTAACTTCTGCCATTTTAAAACTGAGCCACCCGAAGCCTCAGTTTTCCCATGGAGGAAGTTTCCTCCTCTGTAAAACGGGCACCATAGAACAGCACCCTGTTCTGAGGTAGTTCTGAGGAACAAATCAAACAATCCACGTTCAGGGCTGAGGAAATGCTGGCCACCGTTCTTCCACTTAAACAGATCTGGAAATCTGGGGTTGACTTCAACTACTCTCCTGCTATGATGAACGTTCTGTTTTGTTTTTCTATTTTTTTAAGATTTTCACTTATTTTTAAGTGATCTCTATACCCATTGTGGGACTCAAACCTACAACCCCCAAGATCAAAAGTCACACACTCGTCACCGACTGAGCTGCCCAGGTGCCCCAGTTTTGTTTTTCTTTCAGTCACACAAAAATCTCTTTTCCTGACCTCCTTTTATAGCCTATTACTATCTCGTTTATAAAAGAGCCTTAATAATTTCTTAAGTAGCCTGCTACCCATTGTCCTTTTCAGCAGAGCTGCCGAAAACAGATACCACTACTGTCGTCAAATATTTCAAAATCTCCCTCAAGGAGAAGAGGCCAGTCTATGAAGGACTTGTTCTGTCTCATGCCTCCCTTTATGTTGCTGCCTTATTGTTCTTTTCAGAAGAAAGGATAGTCTTCCATTCTGAATAGCGCTGATTCTCCACCTTCAGACCAGGAGGAACTGTGGGACGACAAGGTAGAACAAGGCCTGTCTTGTCCCTGCCCTCCACGCCCTCCCTTCACTAACAGCTAATCAGACTTCAGCTATAAAGTTCAATATAGGAGACAAAAGCTTCTAGCCACAGTATTTTTTTTTTTTTTTTAAGGACAGTAATAGGGTGCAGATGCCCAGAATTTGTTAACAGGCTTGGTTTAGATGCAGCAAAGCCCATTTTAAGTCAGATCGAGTTTATAGAGGTATAGCTGATTATTTTGAATAATTAAATGGTGTCAAAACCAGCTGTGATGAATAGCACTGGGGTCTCAAATCATAAATAATTGAGAAACTGGAGTTGCATTTGGTCATCCTGATCAAATTCTGTTCTCCAGAGGATAAATGTTTGTCCTGAATACCATCAACATTGTTAAATGCCTCAATATTCTTGCTCAGTCATCCAGCCAACAGTCAATTGAACTAAATCACTTCAACAGCACACACATTTGCTGTCCTCATGAATACAAAATGTTTGACTTTAAACCATGTTCTCTGTACTTGAATAGGCACCTTTTTGGTAAGCATCTAACAGCCACATTAAATACTTGACATGCTTGTGTCTGTCCCATGATGTACGGGACTTTGGCGAACACATCAGCAGGTCCCTTTCGCTCTCCCACCTTTGGCTTCGGTTTTGCTCAGGAAAACAAACAAAAAACCAAGGGAAAAAGCTTCCTTTAAAACCGGTTGTCAATACAATTGCCTTTACGATGGCCTCTGGGGACTCCGAATTTGCAGAGACAGAGGCTTGCGGTCCCGTGTTCATTCCTCATTGTGCCGCCTTTCCATGACATCACTTAATCCCCGAAACCCAGTTTGTGAAAAGAGGTGGGCAGTTTAGCAACATCCCCGTCATGTCACTTCCATTTTAAAGGATCCATTTTAAAGGAAGACTGAGCGAGAGAAAGGAACCGACTCACCCGCAAAGCTAGAAGACAGCTGAGCTGCCATGAAAACTTGGCCTCCTCGGCAGAACTCTTGCTGCCAGAGATGTGCCTTAGTTAAGCGCCTCAGTGAAGAAAAGGGCAGTCTGTTTAATAGCTCCTCATTGACACCCTGTCACTGCTGAACTGGCACGGAACCCGGAGCTGGCAGGGCCGTGGTGCCGCGCTCTACCTTGTTTCCTGCACGACAGTTCTTAAAATCGCAGGGCTGTCTTCGCCCACGTCTTCCCTCCACGGATTAATAACCGCCAAGCCCGCCACCATCCACCTCTGCAGGGGCTGAACAGGTCACCCGGCACCCTCAAAGACGGGCATCCTTCACGTTCCCCCAACTCCGGGATGTCAGGGACGTGGGCTCCATTTCTAAAAGCGAGGAAGCCGGGCCATGGGGGGGGGGGCGGCGACGGGTCCGGGGGTAAGGAAGCGCACTGCTCCTAGGGAGCCAGCTGCCCGTTCCTCAGACAGCAAACCTGCTGCTGCCCAGGGAGACGAGGCCTATCCTTGCCATGAGGGCTGCTGTCCCAGCGAGGGTTACCAGGAAGACAAAACTTAGGGACTTGCCTTATTTCTCCCACTAAGTCTGTTCTTTTCTGGAAGCGCACGTGTAGGACCTGGGCAACCAACTCCCTCCCGCCTCGTCTTTTTGGGGGAAAAGAATGCCTGTCAGAAGGAGAAGGGTGAAGAAAAAAAAGAAAAAAACCAACTCCCAACTTTTTCTGGTATTGTTTTTGTTATGCCCGAATGGATTCATTTCAAGTTTATAAAAATCTATATAAAATAAAAGTCAGGTTTCTAGAAAACTACTTTTCAGTTTTGAAACCTACCTCAAAATCCTCGGAGAACCCATGCTGGTTATTAGAATAGAGCTCACCAATGTGTTTAACAAACTGTTTGACAGGAATGGCTTCCATGTCATCTGTGGGGATAAAATGATTTTCAGAGTCACACAGAATAAACTTTGATAGAACAAGTAACACTGATAAGGGATTATTAAAGACAAACATTTGATTTGTGTGAGGAGTAGACAGAATTGTATCACCCGAAGCAGATGTCCTCAAGAAGTCTCAGAATGTATTTTACTTTTCTGTCTTACTAGGATTTGGAATGCCTAGAAGCTAGGTAAAATACGTTCTTTTTTTTTTTTTTTTTTTAAATATTCAAGGCAATTTACATCATTAAATTACCACATCATACTCTTAACTGAAAGTCTGAACTTCCTAAGGGTACCTATTTGTCAAGAAATTTTATCACAGCCTAAGATTTTTTTTTTTTTAAATTGCTCTTCAGTGGGGTCCAGCTTGAATTTGGAGCGATGAAGTTCCATTTCCGGTCTCTGAAGTCTCAGCAATCTTTATACACAATTACAGAGAGATGCCATTGTACCAGCTGGCTTCGGGTACAATGCCATCTATGTTTAAGTGTTCAAAATTTTAGTTCAAGACAGCTGTGTCTATGCGATGCCAAATAATCAGTTTGACTGAATTAACTGGATTTTTTGGGTATTGACAGACTAGGTATAGATTCAGGAAGACTCCCCATTCCAATTTTTTGTGTTGTCACTTCAAGAGGACATTTGCAGTTCATGAGCGCAAAGTATCCGTCTTGAGCGCATTTTCCCCGGATCTGACCCGATATTGGAGGACTGGCCACAAACCTGCCACACCCCACTAACCGGAGCTCCCCAACCTCCTTCCCTCCACCCTCCCCCGCAAATATTTCTTTAAAAATACTCTGCTGAATTTGAGATAAACAACAGACATGACATTTACTTTATTCAGAGTGAAAGATCTTTGGCAAACGCACAAACATCTAAACTGCCACAGATGCTTTTCTTAGCAAAGGGTATGAAGATCTGTATGTGTAAATGAGGTCCTACTTTGGCAAGAATGTTATAGATCCAGGCCTGACAATCTGATTTCTCTTCATCTGGTGACAGCTAACATTGACTATGTCATTCCTTCTCTACTTTCTTTTGAGAGAGCAAAGCTCTAGGGTGGCTTTTTGCATCCATTGACATTTTCAAACTTGAATCATTCTTAAGCGGAAAATAGCATCTCTTCTACTTTGTTTAAGGAAGGTGACTTATATGTTCATAATCCACACTGCTTAGCGCAAAAATGTTACTGATCAAATAGATGGTGCTCCGTGAGCACCCATTCTTTCCGTGTGAACAATTAAAGACCTAATCATTTTAATAGGCCACCTTATGAAAAAAAATTGCCAAGTTATTTACAAATATTTCAGGATTGGAGAGGTTCATGAATATGCAATCATTTTGCACGCCCAAGAATTCTATAGCTCCCATAATGATGTAACCAGCATTAACAAAGCGAGCGGAGCCAAAACGTTTCCCCAGAATATTGAGCAGAATGCACAGTTCAAGAAAAATTTCCAAAATTATCTGATCAACTTCGCCTAAAATGTTTAGAAGTAAGCAAATGCTACAGTATGGATCAAGTGGCAAAGAAACGATCTGAGGTTGAGAGAAGGATTAATATGTACAAAATTGGAGTCCTGAAAAGATTTAACCCAAAGAAACCCCTCTTTGGACAATAGGCAAACTGAGTGGGAGAGAGATGGGACACAACCTAGCCCTGCGATCACTTTAGTATATAGACGGCGGCGTTTCCTCCCAACACATTTAGAACCAAAGATGACACTGTTTCTGAGGGACATTGTTACAGCGCAATAGGCCAAGGGCAGCATTTATCCCATGATTAACTTAGAAACTGTAAACTCTAATAAATTTATGGTGCACACGACTCTCGTTCAGAATAAGCAAACACCTATCAGCTTCAGAGGTACTTTGCTCTAAAAGTCAAAAACACGGCATTTTAAAGGTCAAAGCCCACCTCTGGTCATTAAAAATTGTTTTCAGGGTAACAACTTATTTTTTCCTGCCAAGCACTCAAGTCTACTATCCAAGGTAATGCCATCCATGTCCAGAAATCAGTCTGCCTGCTATTCTCCTGCCTAGATGCAGGAAAAACCCAGCAGAGCTCAGCAGGATAATCATGGAAATACATGACTCACTAGTCTCTCCAATTAGCTTCTTTACCCAAGGAAGTCTAACCACACCCCTCTGGGTTTCCAGGCACCACGGTAACATCTTACAACTACCAGACAGACACACACATTTGTGCGCATGCACGCGCACACACATGCACGCGGTACTGACCGCCACAGGCTACCCAGTTAACGCACAGTCTTTCAATCAAGATAAATAAAGCTGAAGGGTCACACATCTTTTTTCTCAATATGAAGATGAATATAAGGCTATGACTAATTAGAAGTCCTCATAGTTATCCTCTTACATAGTTCTATTAAATTACTCACAAAATGAGCCATTTAATTATAAAATTACCGTAACTAGCAGACAGCCAAGCAATTAGGACAGTGTTGTGGACCTGATCTTCTCAGTTTTTGTCTGGAAAGACCCTGTGGTGTTAGGGGACATCCATCTGAAAGATGTTATCATCTTTCTATCATACAGAGACCATTAGCAGCCACTAACCATGGGCCAGGCACTTTCTATGCCCTTTAGATGGATTAGCATGTACTCCAATCCTCCCAATAACCCTGGGGGATAAGTACTATTTCCCTACTCATCTCACAGTTGAGAAAATAAGCTCAGAAACATTAACTGAAATCTGGACTATGGTGGAAGCTGGCCACCCAAGGTCAAGGGAGAATGGCTGTGGTCTGGGTCAGAGTGAATGGGAAACTACCAGATGAGGCATTTACTCAGCACCCAGGACTCAGCCAGATCGTAGGGAGGTGGGCTCTGCCCCAGGGCACATTTGTGTTGGAGAAGCAATGGATAGCAGCAGGAGTGAGCAAGAATTACTTGGTGCAGATTCCACCGGTCACGAAAAGGATGGATCGGAGGACTCAGGTGAGAACAAATGCTATCAACGTAGTGGTGATGGAGGAAAAAAATAGGAGCTTGCATCAGAGGAAGAGGTTTTCACTAACTACAGGTTGGATGGGAGAGGGAGAGGATATATAATGAAGTGGTCTCAGGAGAGACGCAGTAGAATGAGAATCACCTGTGGTAAAAGCTTTCCCTACATTTAGCATCACCAGAACTAGGTGAAGGGGACACTGTTCTCCTCACATTACACACAAGGTAATGGAAGCAACATGTCCAAAGTGACCAATAACTCGGCAAGCAGAGCTGGCTTCTGACTCCCGGTGTACTGAACACGAAGCCTGGGCCCCCCCACACTGGGACACCCAATTTGTCTTCATTATCCAAGCACAACTTCCAGGAAGAACAAGGAATGAAACGGAGCATCTCGGTTAACTAAACAGAGTATCTTGGATAAAACATTCCTGTGTCCTTTTGTGCCAATATTTTTAGTTATAGAATTTTCAGATATCAAAGATTTGAATTAGGCACAAATCAGAGTCCTGCTGTTATCCTTAAATCATCCCGGTATAAGATGTTTGGGTAAGTCCACTGAGAATCAGCACCTTTCAGAGTGAAATTGTTATTTGACATTATTAGTTACACTTTCTCCAAGATTTCAGCCTTTAGTGGTTAGAATTAAACCTCACCTATAAGAGGCCTTTTAGTTCAGTCAACCATCCTTATGTACCACTTTTGATGGAGTCTGAAATCAGTCTTTGGTTTGTACGCACCCCAAGAGGTGCATTCACAGAGGGTCCCCATCTACTGGGAAGCACCAATGGTGACAGATTCCATGACGGTAAAAAAGAGCTCAAGAGGATGAACGTTAAATAAAGCACTGTACAAAATAAAGAATGATGCACTGAAAATAGAGAAATAGAAAACACTGGAGAGAACACAGAAATACAATACAAATAAAATACAATACAAGAAATACAATAGAAAACACTGAAAATAGAGAAAAGGTGTTTCCTGAATCCGGCTATGTCCCGTTGTACTTGCAATCTGGAGCCAGGTAGAGGGAAATCCCCCCTATATTGGTCTAGGGTTCTAACCTCCTACACAGGCTCACTTTGCTTTCTCTTCCTTTTCAGGAATAACAGATAGACAGGGCAAAACTTCACTTTATTGGGGTTTTTTTTTTTTGCCGTTGGAAAGAAAAAAAGAAAAAACAACAAATAAACTCAGCAGCTGAGGCTGTTCTTGAACATCAGTCCCAAGGAGGTGCCCCGGAGGGCTCAGCCCGTTGTACAGCTCCGTGGCCGCGTCTTCGGCCCGTCTTCAGCTGTCTAGGTGTCATTCCCCACCCCCCCAGCTGTCATTTTTGTTATCAATGGTGGAAAGAACCCTCTGTGCCAGGCACCTAGGGGCAATGGTGTACGTGGAGAAGCCAGAGCCAGACGGCCTGGTTGTGTGACTTCACCTCTCTGTAATTGCCTTTCCTCATCTGTAAAATGAGATTAATAATGACTTTTCACAGAGAGTTACAAAGAGTCAACAGATGACTGAAGTACTTATAAGAGTGCTTAGCATTCTGTAAATGCTTGATAACTAGGATTTATTGTTGGGTGCTAATTGCTTTACCCGTGTGGCCCTATGATTTGGGGCTATGATTACCCATTTTATAGATGGGGAAACTGGCTAAAAGAGATCCAAGAGCTTGGCCAAGGTCCACTGTCATTATCAGCTGGTGGGGCCGGGCTGACTCCAAAGCCTTGTGTCTTCTATCTTATTTGACCTCTCTCTAGAGCTTAATTTGAATATATGTGGTTAGAGAGGGCAGAAAACCATAATAAATCTTAAAAAAAAAAAAAAAAAGCATTACTTATTTGAGAAAGAGAGAGAGCACGCACACAGGGAAAGGGAGAAGCAGACTCTGCATTGAGCAGAGAGGCCTGATGTGGGGTTCGATCCCAGGACCCTGAGATCATGACTTGAGCTGAAGACACTTAGCCAACTGAGCCACACAGGCGCCCTCAATCACGGTTTTTAAAGAAACTTCC